ACTCTTTGAAAAAATTGAACTACAAATTATATTTTTCATAAGAATAGAGTAAGATGGAATAGATCAGAAGAATTGCACACTTACTGTTGAATTCTGTTTGAATATCGACTTAAGTGGAATTTCGGCTTAAAATTGACCTGTTCCTGATGGTCATCAGAGTTCGTGTTGTTCATGAAGTGATTTCCTTCTAGCATCTGTAGATTACATCAAACTTAAAATGATGTTAAAATTGCTTTGAGAAAACCTAAACTACCAGTTGCCTCAAAAATTTGAACAGATATGAAATGGACTAAACATTGTATATCAAATAACACACTCAAGATGAATTCCCAACTTATTAAAAATTCTACAAGTTACATGGATGTAATGTAAGGCAGTTGTCAATATGGCGCATTCAACTTAACTACTAAGGTATGGATTTGTTTAGATTACGGGAAGATTTTACCGCAAACAGCTTCAAAAGAATGCATGTCAAGTAAATTACCAAATCCAAACAAAAACATGTACCTGATAATATATGAATCCAAATGTACGAATATCTTTCTTGGTGCCATCTAATAGATTGGTACTGTTACAGGGATTGCCACTTCTTTTCCCTGTGAAATGAAATTGATTAGAAAGACAACAGAGATTTTCAAAACCAAGTCAAAAGGAATTTGATGTTCATGTACAACCATTTAGATCTGGGTTAGTTTGCTCATACAGCATTTGAACCCAATACTCGCCGATCTTCAAGTGTCCGCCTTCATCCTGCAACAAGTTTCTACTCCAAAGTGGAAAAAACAAGATTAGTTTCAGTATCATATGGGATGGAAGGTTCCTTGAAGCATATATGATTAATAATAGTAACAGACCAAGAGACCAAATAACCCTTTGAAGGCATTAACCTATTTAATTTTTGTCTTTAACATTGCAAATTCGATTCTCAAAAACGGTTTAGAGAATTAGGAATTTACAGAAACTAAGGGGAAGAGAGAGAGAGAGAGAGAGAGATGTTCTCTCTTGGATAGGGCCTACCTGGTATCCAAATGGTTGTGAACTATAGGGCAGGG